AGTAGCTTGTCTGATTGTTTGCTCAATTAGGATTTCGATATTTATTTATGGGTGATTTCTATGGTTGTTAGTTTATGGGATTGCTAACTGTTATTTGCTGATGGATCAATTAGGGTTTTGATATCGAGGGTATTCCAACGACACCGTTTTCCGGTGGACTGATGGCCTACAATTGTAATCTTATGCCTCAGAATCTCTTGGTCAAGCATTATGCTATGTTGGGGCTTCATCGTTACAATATGTCGGAGGTAATTATTATAAGCATTATGTATCTGTATTCAAAACATATGCTCTCTTCTTATTATACCACATTCATTTATTCCTTTCTTTATTCCTCACAGGGAACAAGCTTCGAGCTCGATCGCCTAATAAAATTCAACAAGTCACAGAACGCTGTCTCATCTTACTACATGACTTTGCTTGCATACGATCCTTCCCTTTGCCAAGAAGAAACCTTTCAGGTTCGAACTGATGAACGGAAAATTAACAGATTGCATGTAACCTGCTCTGTTGCTAGACCTAAAGATAAAAAAGACGAAGGTGACTTTTGGTGCATTGTTCATTTTTTGTTTTGTTTTAGTACAGGTCTTGAGTATATAAATAAATTCTCACTTTTGCTGTTTATAATTATGTTGCATAGTGTCCACAAAAGGGCCCTTCGTGCCTCACTTTTATCGTTGCGCAGTCTCGGGTAGTAGTTTATTCAATGGTGAATTGCCTGATTGGCCATCAGATGATGCTCTGAATGATACAAACCGATTTTACATGGTATGATTATTTATTAAGACCCAACATGATCAGTTTTGTTTTGTTTTGCTCATGATCAATGAAGCAACCAGTGATATGTTTTCTCTTGCTTTTTTCAGTTGAATTCATCAGAGCGGCAATCCACCGATTGGATTCATCTCTATTTGGAACTGTTACTTTGCGCAAATGATAGGGGGTCGGCGCAGGTCAGACCTGTAAGTTTTGTTTCATTCTTTTTCTTTTTCTTTTTGCATATCAATGGACATACCATGAGTGGAATGCATTGTTGGTAATAAACACACCAAAACTGTTGTTGCTGCAGGATTTTATGACCGACTTACAGATTCTGAAAGTGGCGATAGAAACTGATATTGGAGATATGAAGCCGCTGAATGAGAGACTCAAGGCCAACTGTGCAAATGTCTACATAACGTTTAAGGGCTTGGACACAGTTCCACTAAATGATGAGATTGGTGAGCATGTTGAACGCAAAGCTATAGTCAGAAGAGTCATCGGTCCAGGATTCTTGACCCTTGTAGGCAAGCATTGGAGTGGTAAAAATGCTGAGAAGCGTTCTGTGACTCTCATGAGTGGAGAAAAAGCCCAGAGGTCTAGAAAGCGATATCGCTTTGTCTAGGCGTTCATAGTCTGGCCTGGCCGTCTGCGACAAGATCCATAGTGGATCAGACGATAAACTATAATAAGCTATTTTATGCGTTTGGACTGTTCAAGTGGATTTGTTGTTGTGCGATGTGTGGTGTTTTGTTAAGACAGAAGCATGTGTTCTGTACTCTGTTTGGTTGCTCTAAGGTTTTTTAAGTTTATATATAATGCGACAAGCCTATAGGATTTTTCATCAAATTGCAAACTTTCATTGAAAGGAGTTATACAACACAGAAGTGCAATACAGAAAATAATCAGATACCAAATGAACTCTGTAGAGGTACTCTCCCAAAAAGAATACCATTATGTACAAAGTAAATAATCACTAGCAAATTGTGCTCCACTAAGTCAACAAGTCACCTGCTGGGCATCTTCAGCTGCTAATCTTTTGGTAGTCCTTCCTAAGGCATGCGTCCACATCATAGACTTCTTGTGTAATGCTTATCTGTGGAATGGATCAGTCGAAGGTGCATTCAGCTAGAGTTGAATGGGAATCAATAACGAAACCAAAAGATGAAGGAGGCTTGGGACTGAGAGACCTTGTCAATTGGAAAACGCCTGTAGCCTGAACCATTTGGGTTAGCTGGTTCCATTTGCAGAGATTCTATCTGGACTTTTAAGACAAGGCAAAAGCATTCATGGCTAGCAAACAAGCTTCCGAAAACTTGGCTTACGATTGGAGAAAGGTAAAGGTTGGTAACAAAGGAACTTGTCAGTCCTGGACAGACAATTGGTCTCCTTTGGACAATTTCTTCCAAGGGGAAACTGCATTTAAAAGATCAGTCTGTCCCTACTACAACAAACCGTAAAGCAAACCATGAGACATCAATCTGATCAATAAGCTAAACCCTAAACCCTTGACTAGACCAGTCAGGTTTTAAGCTCCAACATTTAGATTTTCATTACCGAAGTGTAACACCTCCGCCTTGATGACAACCAATCTGATCTGCTACCTCATTTATCAGTTGCAACTTCATGTTTTGTAGAAAACACTCATCCACAAGAAATGCTCCTGAGCCGATCACACAACAGATGCTCAAACCTTGATCCATTTCTCTTTGGATCTTTTTCATAGCGGCTACAGGCTCCAAAAGGATCATCTTCTTGGATCATCACTACTTGTCAGATTCCCAAGAGCCTGAGCGAGTGAGCGTCGCCACTGAGCCATTATTAACATGTTTTGTTCCAACAAATGACTTGATCCAGTTTCATAACTCCAATGCAGTTGTCATTCCAGAATCCTCAAAACCTTAAGTAAACATTTCCAACCAGCCATTAACACTCTCATAGGCTTCTAAACTCTTAAGGCGTCCCCTAGCCCCAAGAACTCTATTTTGATTTTATGACCGTTCTTGAACGCTAATAGCTAGACTAAAACACCCTGCCTAAAACGACCACAACAACCTTGGGCATTTCCTTGTAAAGGCAGCACATGCCATCAAGATTTTCTTCAAGTGAATGAATATTAGTATAGCACATGAATATAGTCCAAAAAAAAAAAAAGAAGAAGAGAGTTTCGGTATCAGAGAAGAATATCGATTGCCTACACATCCCTATGCACTAATCCAACGAGTCAATATTGATTTACCAAATATGCAACTTTCACAGAAGTGCAGGTTCAATCATTCCGAACCACAGCATTGACCTCACCCGTGTGAGTAGCACCTTGCAAGAAGACCCTATGTCACTGTCCTGCATCCTCTTTTTACTCTAATAAATACCAATCACCCTTGCTCTTTCCAGTGACAAGAGATTCCCGGAGAAATCAAGGACATAACATAACTTGAAGTTCCAGAGCCACAACACCAAAGGCAAACACATCGGTCTTCGCACCACTGCATTCTAACATGAACAAACACATCCCTATGCAATACACGGGTCCTTGACGACTCAATGCAGAGACACATAAAGATAATGCAGACGCGCTTAAGATATCTACACATGGAGACTTGCACTTAAAAACGACCCGCAGTTCGTTATCTCGCACTCTAAACGGCACCGAGTCTTATCTTGCTGTTTTGACCACTCATATTAATATTTTTAATACTAGATACTCACTTAAGAGACTACATTAATGGAGATTCTCTCACACTTTCCATTATATTTTATATACAGAGTTTAACTACTCTATTTGATCTTTGAAACCTCCATCCATGTCTACTAATAATAAGTAAATATGCTGATATGCATCATTTATGTGGTTATAAATGGAGTGATGAATTAGTTTACGAAAATGGGTCGTGGAGGTCGGAAGTTTACTTGATTGATTTGAGAATCGTGTGGTACACACGCGCAGCGATTCTTTCACCGAAATCCAGAGCCGCGTTCGCTGTTAACTCTGTTTTGCTCGCTCTCCGACGGCCGGTTACGACCAGCGCCGTGAGAAGGCTTCCGCTTTTTCTTTATGCTTTCTCCGCTTTCTTCACCACCGCAATTTTCTAGATCTGCTATTCGGCGGCGAGTGGCCGGAGAGGAGTGTCGTGACGGCCGCGTCTGGGTGTAGGGGCTTTCTCCGGCGTCAACCTGCTTGTCGGAGCTGAGCTGCAACCCCTTCACTCGCCTCACGTTTCCGACCGCTCGATCTACTATGTAGATCCTCCTCCGGCCAGGCGTTTCCGATGGTGGTCGACGTTACTTGTGGCTATGGAGCGACGTCCGACGACCGTAGTTTCTATGGTGGTTGGGCTTTTCATCTCTATGCCTCTTTCGATCGTGGACGGTTTTGGCTTGCGAAGGGTCGCCCCTATCTTCACCATGTCTCCCATTGTTTTCCTTTTCGGCTTCTTCTTTGTTTCTGCTTTGGAGTCGCGATCTCTCTGGCTCTACCTTTTGGATTCGTTGCTGAGCTTAGTTACCGTAGGTGGATTTGGCTTCTCGCTTGATGATTAGCCTCGACGATTTGGATACACTATGGTTGGGTTTGGTTGTGGACAGCAGCTTTCCCTCTAGTGTGTGTCCTTTGTGGCATCTCGAGTGCGTTTGTGTTGTCTTCGTTGAGTCCGGTTCAGCTTCTTGTCTTGCGACGTTGTGGCTTTAGGTTTGGTCTGCTTCCGGTGGTAGATTTGTGGCCGTATCTTTAGTTTGCTTCGCCGTATTTTGGTTTTGTTGGTTGGCGTAGGACCAGTTGTCGGGTGTGTCTTCCTCTTGAAGATGTTGCGTTAGTTTTGTTTGCGGGTTAGTGGATAGGGTCGTTAGATTTACCTTGTGCTACAGAGGAGCTAGTAAGTCCATTGATGCTCGGAGCAGTTCTTCATCGTTACATTTAGCTTTGTACATTGTACTAGCCAACGTTTTTGGTAGGGGAAGCTTGTACCGTGCATAGTTTGGAGTTTGAGGTTTCTTCTTGGGTTAAGCTCATGGAATTGTTCTTCTAGTCGCTCTCACTTGACGCGAGAGGAGTCGGTAATCGAGATCGTTGAAGACTTTTGTCGTTGACAATTCTGGTTTGGATCTCTCTTGAACGGCTTCTAGCGTACTGGGTTTTGGTCTTTCGGTCTTCGTGTTTGCCCGGGACCTTCTAAGCCCAACTGATCATGGACGGACACTCTACATCGCCATCACTTCGTTTAGCTCAATAAGCCTTGCGTTTATGTCGAACTACGGACTGGAAAACTTGTATGCATATGTTTTCATGTTTTTTAAACTTTTTGCTGTATAATACATTGTATAGGACTACAATTTCGATTGTAATCCTGAACCGATTCATTCTATAAACAGAATGACCCACCCACCCAGTGTATATGCCATACCAATACCAGCACGACTTTTCCACCATAGTTGCATATATGTCTATTCTTTTCAATATATATCACCAAAAAATATCTCAAAAGAAATAATTAAATGACATGAATAATATGAAATGATTTTGGTATTTATATTGAATGCAAGCTAAGTAAGAAATGATTTTCTAACTTAAAATCGTGGAGAGTCCTGGTGACCCAAAAGCTCTTACTCTGAAAAATATTTACCCATCCAAGAGTGAAGCTTGGAGGTGATATTTTCTATAAACGGCTGGAGATAGAGTAGCAAAAGAGATTCTTGCAGGGTTAAGTGGTAGTTTGGTTTTGTTTATTTCAACTGGTCCGACCACAGAACCGAACCACAGCCACTACTCATCCAGATGAAGGTTTCTAATTTCGTCCTAATCTTGGACCTTTTTTTGGCAACTTTGTTTTTGTGTGTTTCAAGTTTCTTTATTTTGCTTCAAATTGAAAGAAAAGATTCATCTTTGCCTTCCATCTGTTCGACGCTTTGCCTCAACCACGACCACTTTTTGAATTCTGCTTCTCTTTTTGTTACAGGAGGGCTTGTGGGATGGATGTTGCCGGCCCAATTCCTGAAGAGCTTTGGAGTCTCGTTCACATCTCCAATCTGTACGCTTTTGTTCTTTTCTCACAGAGTAAATTCTGCATCATGCATTGCGTTGCAACACACTCAAGTTTCCACCTTTTTTCTTTTGGCAGGAACCTAAATCGGAATTTCTTGACTGGTTCTCTGTCTCCTGGCATTGGAAATCTGACCAAGATGCAGTGGATGTAAGGCAGTTGACCCTTTTCACTATATAATCCAGAAATGCTAGCATTTAACCTATGCATATATGAGCAATTTTTGTCTTCTTATTGGTGTGCAAATATTCATTGTCCTAGGACTTTTGGGGCCAATGCATTGTCCGGACATACTGATTTAAGATCACTGTTAGGACCTCTCAACAAGGATTATATCATCACATTTTCAGTTGGATCAATAAGTTTTTGCTGATAGACTCTCTTTACACAGAGCGATTGATATGAATAATTTCTCCGGTTCTATACCACCTGAGATTGGCAATTGCACAAGGCTGGTGAAAATGTAAGTGTATGCAATGCTTTGTTCATCATAATTCATGTACATACCTTAACTAATGGTAACATTTAGTATTGCTAGCATCAACACTCCATCAGTCTTGGTTCTCATAATATGTCTATATGTTTAAAGAGCTTCCGAGCCGCAGTAAGTTTAACTGTACTTGTATTAATGACAGGTTCCTTGGAAGTTCAGGACTTAGTGGTGAACTTCCCTCATCATTTGCTAATTTTGTTGACTTGTATGAAGCGTAAGATATTTATCAGATTATAATCTCGCGGGTTGCTATTGTATCTGGCTACTCATTTAGAAACATAAGCATACTCCCAATTCTTGATATGTTTTGGATTGACTTTATAGGAAATTGGACCAAACTTACTACCTTGTAAGAAAATTTCATATCGCAGCTCTTCAATTCTTCAATCTTATTTCTTTGTTTTAAGCTATCGCCTATCAACGGATAGAGTAACTGTTAATAATCAACACTTGATGGTATGCCACACTATATATTGAAGGCTATACTCAATGTGTGACACATGCTTTACTGCAGGAGAATTCTGGGGACTAATTTGAGTGGTCCAATTCCATCTACATTTGCAAATTTGATTTCACTGACAGAATTGTAAGTGCTTGAAATATGTTCTTTTCACCTTCACTTTTCCATATGTTCTTTTCACCTTCACTTTTCCATATGTTCTTTGTCTTGATACTGATTGACTAACATCCAAAATGCAGGAGACTAGGTGAAATATCCAACAACAATTCTTCTCTTCAATTCATCCGAGACATGAAATCTCTAAGTGTCTTGTAAGCAATTCTGTTCAGATTTCGCCTAATCTTGATGAACTTCTGAACTCCTTTATCTCTTCCCATTCCTCTGTATTTTCTGACATTTTTTAAATATCACGCAGAGTATTACGGAACAATAATCATACATTTTTTAAATATTCCTTTGATGTTAAAGTTGTTTGGTTTGTGTGTATTTTAGGAAAAGAGACTGTTTGGCTCAGCTCTATGCTAAGGATATTACTCCTGATGACAAGCAAGAGCTCGATGAGGCTTTACAGAGAGAGGTAAAAGCTTACTGGCTTCTTTATGTCGACTTGATTTGAGATCGTAATTGAAAATGTGTGACTTTGTTTTTGTAGATTCAAGCAGCAGTTCGAAC